CAATAGGCAGCCAGTGCAGCTCGCAGAGGAAAGGTGTAACGTGGGTTTACCGAGCTGCACCCACAATCGCTCGCGCGGCTGCATTCTGGACAAGCTGAAGTCTTCGAACACTCGAACACTCTTCAAGGGCAGCCCCATGTAGAGCGCGTTACAGTAGTCCAGTCTTGAGGTGACGAGGGCGTGAGTGACTATCCGAAGCATATATTATATTGTGAGCCTCCCAGAATCAAAATGGAACGTGCAGCATTAGATTTGAGTCAAATGAATAAATATATAGATCTATAATATATTTTCCATTTTAGCTTGTCTGTCCCTATCCATTATATTGCTACTGATATATTCTGAATAAAATATTTTAAATTGTGCTTTCAGATTCTACCAGATGACCCAGATAAGAAACCCCAAGCCAAGCAGTTGCAGACCCGTGCAGACTACCTCATAAAATTATTGAATAAGGACATTGCACGAAAAGAAGCACAAAGACTTTCTGGAATAGTAAGTAACTTGTTGCAGCAAAAAGCAGGATACTGAACATTCATCTTATAGATATGTAATATCTGTTTACATTGTTTACATTTTGAAATTATTTCTATATCTATCCGCATACAGGTAGGTTAAATCAGGATTCTCCCTGAACAAATTGTTCGTGCTTGCTTACTAATTAGTTCTGGGTATGATTCTTGTTGTTTCTAAAACCTGCAATTCATTGATCTTTAGAAACAATAAGACCCTAAAAATAGGCCTTACTATCTTTCTGATACTCACAATTCTTTTCTGATATTTAGGGTTCAAAGAGAAGAAAGATAAGAATGAAAAAGAGCAAGATTATAAAAGCAATAAAAATGAAAGAGGAGCTAAAGAGTGACACATCACCACCACCTTCAGATAAGTCTGATGAAGAGGAAGAAGAAGATATCAAGGTGAATATATTGAAAATGTTATCTGCTTTTTTATTACCAGTTTATTCAGTCTTCACACTGGGAAAAACGGTATAAAACTGATATCAAAATCACAGGTTCAGGATCTAAATGAAATTTCTAACGTGATTTCTGGTTGTATTTGTGTTTTAGATCCCATGCTAAACTAGCTCTCTAATTTAAAGCAACAACTTGAAGAATATAGTAAGCATAAAAGTGAAATAAGATTTTTTTCTTAAACCTGTTTTATTGTATTAAACAATAAATGTCTCTTATTTAAAGTCATTGCTGAGTGGCAGTGGAAGATTGCATATATTTAGGATATTTAATTCCTGTGTTTTTGAAAGTGGCTATGAACCTCAAATTAAAATCATTTAAAATATAGATTTTAAGAAGGTATTTTCTTTATTCAAGGAAGAGCAAAGAACAGTAGGTAGGCTTTTAAAATGACTTTTTACCTCAACAATGTAACATTCTTTAAAGGTTTCCTGAGCTAAGAATCAGAAATTGCAATCTCCAGTTTCCTGCTTGTTTTCATTCCTAATTACATGACTTTTTTTTTAGCAAACTGCAAAATAAGATTGACATTTATTTGTTTCTTAAAGTCTTAAAAATATGGCTGGGATTTTGACTGAAGACGGGCCTCTTAACATGGTCTAGAATACAACATTCTAAATGAAAATATTAAAACATTAAAAGAATGGAAGAAAAAACTTAATTATAGTATTAAGACAAAAAGTAGAATGAAAAATTAGGCAGATTACCAGCTGTCTTTGTTTTATGTTTATTTTTAGATTACACTGAGGATTTTTCCTGTAATTGCTAGGCTGAAGAAAAAATAAGTAGTGTTTAAACAATTGTTTAAAATTGTAAAATCAACTGTTGCTTGAAAATATTTTTGTTTTAATGAAATACATTAATAGGAAATAATACAAGAAAAGGGGAAATGGTAGATACATTAAGCATTGTTTCCTTCATCACTATTATAAATAGAAACAATTTGAAAATTAGATTTAAATATCAAAGAATGTCCAGTCATTTTAACTTTCCAAATCCAATCTACCTGTGTTTCACTGAGTAATAAAAGAAACAAAAAACCCCCAATAATTGACAACTGGAATAAAATAGAAAAATGTGTCAGAACAAATGACAAAATTTCCAAACATTATCACTGTTTCCTGTTGTTTCTGATGCATATCACTTGTGTGTTTATATGCCAATCAAATGTTTAGATTTTTCATTTCAGCAGATATGTTTATATGTTATAGGATGAAATGGTTTCATTGAAAAATTCAAGTAAGATAAAAATGGAAAAAGAAAATGAAGAAAATCCTGATGCAGCTATTACTTTGAAAAAGCAGGCCGATGAAAGAAGAGAAACTAAGGAAAATAAAAAGGAATTAAAAAGGGAGAAAAAAGAAAAAGAGGACAAGAAGGAGCTAAAAGAAAAAGATATGAAAGAAAAGAGGGAAAGCAAAGGAAAAGAATACACCCACAAAGAAAAAGAAGTTAAAGAAGAAAAGGTAATTAAGCCCTGTTAGATTGCTTGATCTCTTTTATATACAGGGCTGTATTCTAGTACTCAAGAGCTGGCCAGTATTCCAGGCATTCACATATATGTCAGGAACTTCACTCCAAATGTATACGGGGCACAAAAAACAGCAAAATTTAATCAAAATTAAATAATGCTAAATTTTGTTTTTTTTTTCTTTTCCTTGCATAAAATATTGTAATTCAGTTACAGCTTTTGAAACCTATTGGCAAACCTATCCCATGTTGAGGAGTGAGTGGAACACTCAAATCTGCGACTGAGATTCTGCGCCTTCATTCTATAATATGCTTTGTGTGGGGGGGCAGGGTTCTTCAATTCACTCTTTGAATGAAATCTAGGCAGTTCGGGTTGCTATGGAATAACAAAGGATATGTAAAATGTTGTCTGTCCAATATATTTCATTGTTGGCAGCATTTTAGACTTTTATTTTTTTATTTGTAGACAAATGATTATAAATCTGACAGCAAAGACAAAATAAAGAAACCCCCTTCAGCAGACACACCTGTTCATATAACAGCAAGTGGTGAACCTGTTCCTATATCAGAAGATTCAGAGGAGTTGGATCAGAAAACGTTCAGTATAGTAAGATTATCTTCAGTACTAGCAAATGCATTGTTATTAGATCAGTTGCAATAGGCAACTTAGAGATACCTTTGAAATTTGTTCCCTTTTTTCATTTCAGTACAGTGTTTCCCCCAAAATAAGACAGGGTCCTATTTTCTTTAGACCCCCCCAAAATAAACACTTGTCCTGTTTGGGGGGCAGATATTATTATTTTTGAAGTGCAGGAGGCGGCGAGCATGGTCACCTCATGGCTGCTGCTGTGTTCGTGATATTTTCGGTGGAGGGCTTATTTTAGCACATGCGTTCAAAAGCCCAATTGGGCTTATTATCCGAGAAGGTCTTATTTTCAGGGAAACAGCTGGTCTACTTGTGCATAAAGTTAGTTTTAAATATTGATTATTTTAATCTGATGTTTAATATAAAGTTGAAAGTTAAATTAATGTGTAATAGAAAGCTTTCCATATAAGAGAGCAAGGGTAAGTGGAATCACTCCACTATAAATTTTAGTATGTATGTAAGTAACAATGTGTTTAGTAGAACTCTGAATATTGTTTATGAATATGTGAATATCATTTTTTTTACAGTGCAAAGAAAGAATGAGGCCTGTCAAAGCGGCATTGAAACAATTGGATAGACCAGAGAAAGGTCTTTCAGAAAGGGAACAACTAGAACATACTAGACAATGTCTCATAAAAATTGGTGACCATATAACTGAATGTCTAAAAGAATACACAAATCCTGAACAAATTAAACAGTGGAGAAAGTAAGTAAATACACAGATATACCGAGCTTTTAGTTGCTTCTTCATTAAACAGTTTATAGGATAACCACTAGGTGGAAGTTGATCTCTATTACAGCCGCTACTGTGTTAAAGTAATACGTTGAAACCAAGTATTCTCTGCCCAGTTTAAGACTTGTATTTTTGTGCAAATTATTCCATAGTTAGCCACCTAATTCATTTTTTATCTGAAACATGGCCTAATTTGTCTTTGAATAAGAACATCCAATAAATAAGGCAGTGTTGAATCTTAGCAGAAATTTACTGGTAGTTGAGAAATGTAACCTGTTAAAGGGGTTTCATAAAATTAAGACTAAATCTTTTTGTTTCTTTCTTTTCCAATTTTAGGAATTTGTGGATTTTTGTTTCCAAATTTACTGAATTTGATGCCCGAAAACTACACAAATTGTACAAACATGCAATTAAAAAGCGCCAGGAAACACAGGTGAGGGGGGAGGGTTATTAAATACTAGCAGATATGCTGCATGTTATTTTGTTATGAAAACAAAATATAAAAAATATATCCTATGCATGGGGCTTTGCTTGTGCCACCAGTTTCTGGCATGCCGCGGCCTGGTATCAGCCCACAAAACGCGTTTGGGGATCCCTGATCTAGTTGAAAGTTATCAAATGAAACCTAGATAATATTTTATTTAATTTTTTTCAGCAGTATAATGAACAGAATATCAATAGCAGTGTGAACACAAATTTGATTAGAAATCCAGGTAAGATATTAACTATTATGCTAATTGTTACACAACATTGTATTATAAAGACATACTCCCCATACTGTTTTCGGATTCTAATTTTAAATATCTCTATGAAATGGGAAAATATTTCCATTTCCAGTTTAGTATAAACCTATTTAATTTATACTTTCCACAAAGCAAATGGCATATCAATTAGTATATATATTGTCCTGAATTTCACAGTTCTCCAATTTTTTTTAAAAGTGCAATTTGCATAGAAAAGTGTGTATATTGGTAGAAATAATTTAAAATACCTTACATTAAAGATAATTGTTTGCAAGTATTTTCAAATATATAAATTGCTGATGCACCTCTATTTTCATTTAAGCAGATATGGAACGATTAAAAGAGAACACGAATCATGATGACAGTAGTAGGGACAGTTACTCCTCTGACAGATACTTATCACAGTATCATGATCATCACAAAGACAGACTTCATGGAGATTCTTACAAAAAAAGTGATTCAAGAAAAAGGCCTTATTCCACTTTCAGCAATGGAAAAGATCATAGAGATTGGGATCACTATAAACAGGATAATAGGTAAGTTCTTTGACGTTTCTTGACTCCAGTGCTTCCAGACATTTCATAGTTCTTACTTATCATTAATGAGATAACTATGTAGAATTCAGAAAATAGATAATATTAATTGATATAATTTAAAATTTAGTAATATACTCAACACACCTTGAACAAAACCCATAATGTAGTAGGAAAGACAGTATGAAAAGGATTAGGACTATGCATCAGACTCCCAAGAATTTACATGAGAAGAAGTTGATTCTCTTCTCACAACACACACTCCCTGGGAGGAGAGCAGATCTTACTGATCTGTTGTGAGAAGAGAATCAACTTGAAGATAAATATGTGGCAACTATTAGTTTCTGTTCTTATACTTGGCATGTATTCCTCAGTTAACAACCACTTGTTCAGCAATCATTCAGTTACAATTTCTGCTGAATGAGTGCTGGTTACAACCGGAACTTGAAGTTCCAACCATTCCAGCACCTGCCATGGTCATTTGATTGAGATCTAGACACTAGGCAGCCTGTTTGCAGTTATAATGGTCACAGTGTCCTGTCTTCTTGCGATTGTACTTATGACCTTCTCTACCAGCTTCCCACAAGCAAAATCAATGGGGAAGCCAGTAAAGAAGGTCACAAGTTGCTCAGATAAGGCTCTCCCATCTACACACCCTCCATCAGCCCCTTGGGCACTCGCACCTCGCCAGCCACCCATACTCTACATAATCAATCTCCCGACCAGAAGTAGTCACCCCAGTCCCTTCCACTTGCGCACCTTCTCCCATCCAGCAGAAGCTAGCCCATGCCTCACTGCACACCTTTCCTCCACAGCCATCTTCACATCCTCATTCCCCCTCCTACTCTCCCACCCAGAAATGGCTGCTTACCTGCTTGCCAGCCTGCTTGCAAGCCACCTAGGATGTGCAACTTCTTGCTGGCTTCCTCACTTTGCTTGTTGGAAGGTGGGGATGCAGGTATTGCCTTTGCTAAGCAATGCAGTCATATGGTGTGTCTACTATTATATCACTTAGCAATGGAAATTATAGACCCAATTGCTGTGGAAACTTGAGGGCTACCTGCATAACAATAGACTTCCAGTGCTTATTTTATTCATGTATTTATTAAATTTAGATATTATCCAATTCCCAGTGTTACTGATTCCTAAGTGTAACAAAATAAAAAAAACAGCAAAAATGCTTAAAAATGAAAAAGAGAGAAACCCGCACAAAGTGAGGGAACTTCACTCACCAAAGTTCTAAAAGAAAATCCAGGTCCTCAAGTCCCTTCAAAACACCACAAGACATCCATATCTAGAGGGAGTCTCATTCCAGAGGGCAGGTGCTTCTACAGAGAAGGCACACTTCTAGAGTCCCAATAGAGACATTGTTTAGCTCAAATTGCTTCATCCCTAGCATTGAACAGGATTCAGAGACCAGAGCCTGCATTTGATACGTCATGTTTCACAATCTCTGACGGAACAGTTGGTAGAAATGAATAGAGGAAAGTGGGCAAGTCAATCTACAAGTCGCTACTTTTTAACAAGTAAAAATTGGTTGTGGCCTCTCTATCAGTGGAAGCTTTGTGGTGGCTCCATAGGGACTACATGAAGTATATTGGTCATAAGCCATCAGTATTGCCACCTCCATGTTCAAAAAACAATTCCAATAGTTTAGGTGGAAAAGAACAGAGGCTCATGAGTACTTGAGTATAGAGATTCTGTACCAGTGCCTGAAAGAAATGTATGTTGCACATTTCATCTGTTCCTGTAGAATCTGCCTTTTTTGTCCATAATTATCTCCACACGTTCTGAGTAATTGACACTTAGTTTCCTCATTTTTTGTGTGTGATTTTTGTCAGTTTAGGTATGATATTAAATATATGCATATGATAATATTAAAGCCATCTGTTTTGAAAGGCTAATTATAAATGGAATCAGCATTTAAAGAGAAAATTATATTCTTTTCTACTGCATTCATGAAATCGGTTATTTTTCTTGATTTTCAGATACTACAATGATAGTAAACACAGAAAGTTAGATGATCACAGAAACAGAGATCACAGATTGAATCTGGAAGGAAGTTTTAAAGACAGTCGATCACATTTAGATCACCGGATACATTTAGATCATCGATCCAGTTCAGACTACAGTCATCATAAATCTTCAAGAGATTATAGGTATCACTCAGACTGGCAAATGGACCACAGAGCTTCCAGTAGTGGACCCAGATCACCATTAGATCAACGGTCACCTTATGATTCTCGATCTCCTTTAGGACACAGATCTCCTTTTGACCATTCAACAGATCATAAAAGTACACCAGAACATATGTGGAGTAATCGGAAAACATAGCAAAGACTTAACATTTCATGGACTTCTTTTTAGCCATACACAATAAAACTAACACAGTAATTGCCTTACATGACTTGAAAGATGTGGACCGGATGTGCTCTGAGTAGCAGTATTGTTACTACTTTCCAGTATGCTAGTTATATTATCCCCACAGAAGAAGAAATATTTTTGTATTTAAAGTTTTAATGCTGCACTGTGCTACAAATGTTGTGGCACATTTTTTTAAAGAAATAGGAAATGTTTACTTTTTACAGGGACCTCAACACTGCCCAACTTAGACTGGATCTTAATCTGAATTCCTTGTCAATAGTTTTATCCTGAATACAGTTTAAATTATGCTTTTAGATGAGTATTCACATGATAACCTGTGATAGTATTTCAGGAAAGGGGATTTTTTCAAAGGATGTCATGACCTAGTTCACTTTCCAAAGCTACTTGTTTACGTTATACGCTGCGACCACCTAGCCGCTTTTTCATCACAAGCTTGAATATTTAAATTCTGTACCTATAATTGTAAAATAGTCAGGCGTTCTACAGTTTGATCAGTTGTAATGCCTTTTTACAAAATGACTGTAAATTATTGTAAATTAATTAAATGAGCTTCCCCTCCCCTGTCTTTTTCTTTCTAAATTGGTTTAGCTGATCATTTCCTTTTTAAAAAAAATTTTTTTAAATAAAAGTTCAGATGAAATAATTAGAATCTAAAAATAAAAATAAAAAACCTGTCTGCCTTTATAAGAAGAAAATTCAATTCTATAGATTGAATTACATGCAAATGAATTTTTATCCCCTGACATTTGACTCAGGTTGGACAATTACGTCCATTATCTCTTTTATGTTTATGTGCCCCCAAGATGGATTGTCTTAAAGCATATTCAAAGCTATTCTGAATCTAAAACACGCATGTTTATCAGAATAAATTTATTGATTCAATCATATTTATCTTATGTAATTTTGCATTTCAGCAAATAAAAGCTACACTCTAAAAGTGTAAAGTCCCTGTTACCGATTTGCTTGGGTAATTATTTAAAAAAATATTAGGTATAGGAATAAGCTGTTTGGTTCTAATATTGGCTCTCAGAGACTTATATTTATATCCTCAATTATTAGCTTGGCAAAAGGATGGATTTGGCTGCTTCAATCCACAGTTGTTTATTTGTAAGGAAGAGCTGGATTTAAAATACATACAAAAGTTGTTACCAAGATTCTTTTGGGAACTTATAATCTTTATTTTAGTTTAACAAAGTCATTGTTTAAACTGCATAGAACTGTTTCTATACCACAGCAAAGTGATGACAGATTTTTTTCTTCTTAGTCCCAGTGCAACAAATAGCAACTGATGTTGACATTTTTAAATTGAGTGCCTTGCACAGCTACGTGGCTTTTACTCTCTTTTTTTTATTCCTCCCAGCAGATCCCTAGGTAAATAGAAAACATTGCTTAAAAATTGTGTTTCAGCTTACACATGGTTATGTACAAAACTAAAGTAGTTGTTACATATTTTTAAGATACAGATTTTCTTGTTTATTGCAGAAAACACAAGTATTAGTTTATACACTTACCAAAGTATTTATTATGACATGAACTTTATCACATTACAGCAAATTTCATTAAGGTGTTTGGAAATTTCTTTACAGCTATGGGGGAGAAGAGGGACGTTTATAGAGTGCAAAGTTAATGTCTGCAAGTATTTTTACAACAGGGACAATAAACAAATTTTCATATTTGAATTTGTGACACTAAAAAAATAAGTTCTTCACTCATCTGAAAAACTTGCAAACATGTATTGAGAGATAACTTATTTTTCCTTACCATAATATACATTATTTGGAGGTGATACATTGTCTATTTATGTCTGTGGAAGGCCAATTTACAGGCCTTAGGAAATATGGATAGAACTTCTGATTACTCTTGTAAAATCTCCTTGCCATGAAACCAGGCATAATATATAGGTGAAACTCGAGAAATTAGAATATTGTGCAAAAGTTCATTTATTTCAGTAACGCAACTTAAAAGGTGAAACTAGTGATTTGTCATAATTGTGATGATTATGGCGTACATCTCATGAAAACCCCAAATCCACCATCTCAGAAAATTAGAATATTACATGCAATCAATAAAACCAGGATTGTACATAGAACAATATCGGACCTCTGAAAAGTATTAGCATGCATATGTACTCAGTACTTGGTTTGGGCCCCTTTTGCAGCAATTACTGCCTCAATGTGGCGTGGCATGGAAGCTATCAGCCTTGGCACTGCTGAGGTGTTATGGAAGACCAGGATGCTTCAATAGCCAAAGTCCTGTTGCTCAGTGATCCAAAGTCCTCTTTTCTGATGAAAGCAACTTTTGCATCTCAATTGGAAACCAAGGACCTAGAGTATGGAGGAAGAATGGAGAGGCCAATCAAGCACAGTGCTTTTGGCAAAAGTTGCTCTCATCAGAAAAGAGGACTTTGGGCCAAGGAGCAACAGGATTTTGGACCACTGTGCTTCATTAAGATGAGGGTCAACGCAGCTGTCTACCAGGAGATTTTGGAACACTTCATGCTTCTTTCCGCAGACGAGTTTTATGGGGATGCTGACTTCATTTTCCAGCTGCCCACACTGCCAAAAGCACCAAAACCTGGTTCAATGACTGTGGGATTACTGTGCTTGATTGGCCAGAAAACTCGCCTGACCTGAACCCCATAGAGAATCTATGGGGCATTGCCAAGAGAAAGATGAGAGACATGAGACCGAACAATGCAGAAGAGCTGAAGGCCGCTATTGAAGCATCCTGGTCTTCCATAACACCTCAGCAGTGCCACAGGCTGTTATAGCTTCCATGCCATACAGGATTGAGGCAGTAATTGCTGCAAAAGGGGCCCAAACCAAGTACTGAGTACATATGCATGCTTATACTTTTCAGAGGTCCGATATTGTTCTATGTACAATCCTTGTTTTATTGATTACATGTAATATTCTAATTTTCTGAGATAGTGGATTTGGGGTTTTCATGAGATGTACACTATAATCATCACAATTATGACAAATCACGAGTTTGACCTGTTATGTTGTGTGATGGCAACACTCTTGTGCTAGAGTATCATCAAGCACAGTAAACCTATTCTCACTAGTTTCTGCATTCTTTCAGCTGCTTTGTATGTTCATAAAGAAGTCCTCAAAGGAACTGGAATTCAAAAAATGCTGTTTTCCTCCTTTCTTCACAAAGAAGAATTTTTGAACAATACTTCTGAACAAATAACTTTCCACAAAAGATACAATAGGAATAATGTAAATATTTTTTATAGAAGATATAATTATAGACTAGGTCTAGCAGATTTAAGGAAACTGAATAAATTAATTTATTCTCAATGCATTCTCATAATACCTTGTTATTGAACAGTTATTTTAAAATGCTATGCATATTAATTTTTGCTATAAAATATTGTAAATTATAAACAGCTTTCATTTGTATTTCGGTTATGTGGTAACCTATATTAAAATACAGGGCTCTAGGTATTAAATTTCAATATATGTGGAGCAAAAAGTGAAAACATGAGAGGCTAATGAATAAAATTTAAATAATGTTGAAATCAGGGAAGAATACTGTGGATGGGAGTCATAATCTCTATATTCATAAATATCGTAAAATTTTCCAAGGTGTGCTACTTGGTTCTGCAATTTATAAAGCACCCAAAGTGATGACCAACAGAATCGGGTAATTTACAGAATGAATCCAAAGTGTTGCTGGGCTGCTTTAATCATTGCTGGGCTGTTTAAATGTAATTTTGGTTAATGTTGCCAGACATAGGCATTGAAGATACTCTATTTTTAGAAAATAGATAATACATGAGTCTTTATGCATCCTACCAGTCATTAAACACAAGGGCAGCTTGCAGAAGATTCACAAGAGATGGCAGAGACATCTTTTAAATAGCTTGCATAATACTGCAATATTTTTATGAATTAAACTAGAGGACACTTAGAAAAATGTGGCATTTTTCATGCTTACAGACTATTTTAAATACAATAATGGCCTTATAATAGATACAGTATATCAAAGCAGACCTACAACATAATGGGCAAAGAACATTGTATTGCATATACGTGCTTTAGAGTCGAAGATTATAACATAATTTCTAATGTTAACACCTTGATCCCATCATTTATCACAATAGATAAACATTGAAAGTAACTCATGCTAGATCACAGCAACTACTTCATGGGGCAACTGTTGGTCTTGGACACAACAGTGTTTTGATTCAGAAGATGGCCATCAACCCCAGCTATGTTGTTGACAATACATAATCAGTCACTATGAGTTTTGTAATGGCAAAGGTAACTTGATCCACAAAGTCAAAGATCTTCACAGAATCTGGGGCCACCTGCAAATTTTCTTAAGTTGAGGAAAGGGCCTTCAAAAAGCAACTCTTCATTGCTGCATTACAGCCCATGCATGAACCCACACATCTCTGTAGTATATTCTCCTCTATTGATAGGAAATTATTGAGGGATGTTTGAGTTTAATGCATCTGATGATCCTGTAAGATGAGACAAATAGTAGGCAATCAGACATCATGATATTGATTTTCCTAAAAGGAGCTACAACCACAGAATTATACCCCCTAGTTCTTGCTTTGATCTTTCCAAATCATACTTGATTTTAATCAATTAAGGAATGCTAATAGAAGAGTGTAGTGCCTTCCATTTTCTTTTGAAGCAGTGCTCTCTAGGCAAAGCTCAAAAAAGTCAGGCAGAATTCTAGCCTTGGAGAAGGAAGATTTCTTTCAGAGAAGATTGTTTTTTAATCAATATTAACAGTGTGTGTGTGTGTGTGTGTGTGTATAGATGTGTGTATGTATAGATGTGTGTGTGTGTATGTATGTATGTGTATGTATGTATGTATGTATGTGTGTGTNATTTATTTATTTATTTATCTTATTTATATGGTCTAAACCTGATGTACTTGATTCCATAATAATTTTTTTTAGGAAAATTAGTGAAAAATAAATTTTGCCTTAGAAAATACTTAAAACAGAAATTGCTGTTTATGTAACACACAAGAAAAGTCATAGCCCAAGAAATTGTGATGATCTCCTTCAAAAGCATACTTGTGTCCCATAATAGATAAATTAATGGTTTTGCTAAAATAGAAACATGTTAAGAAGAGGTTTTGAAACTTTACAAGGTTGCAATTCCCTAAAATGAATTGCCATGGAATGCAATGCAATATAATATAATTGCTATGGAATACAATTAAATAACAAATAGAGGTAGTCCCCAACTTACAGTAGTTCACTTAGTGACTGTTCAAAGTCACGACATGGAAAAAAACAACATGTTTTTTACCCGACTGCTGCACCATCCCCATAGTCATGTGATCAAAATTCAGAAGCTTGGCAAGTGGCTCATATTTATGACGCTTGCAGTGCCCCAGGTTCATGTGATCACCTTTGCGACCTTCTGACAAGGAAAGTCAATGGGGAAGCCAGATTCACTTAACAACCATGTCTCTAACTGAACAACTTCAGTAAACAGCTGTGGCAAGAAATGTCATAAAATGGGGCATAATTCACTTAACAAATGACACAACAGAAAATTTGGGTCTCAATTGTGGCCACAAGT